AAGCACTGTTGGGTGATCGACACACCACGAGCTGTGACTACTTGATCCTCCAGTCGTATGCTGCCTTCTTCTCCATGGAGTCGTTTCTTGGATTATTTGCCCAGCATACAAACTGAGTAAATATGGTGAAGGTTTACAACCTGTCAGGGGAGCCAGCCCCTAACAAATCATCATAGGCCTGGCAGGCACAATTTTACAGCGATGATATGTAGAGATTACAGTAAAGTCATAGAGAATAAGAGATAGAAGAGAGTAAAATGAAGATTCAGACACATAACATGGTAGCAAACTCACCTCAGCCCTTTTTGGTGGTCCACGTGGAAATCCGGAGACCAGGAGGAACACGAGGGAGACTGATTTATTTCTAACCAAAGCTTATATATCTTTTGCGGGGCATGGAAGCCCCCTGATTACAGGTAAAGACATACATCAAGGAAGAGGTTGTAACAAAGGCAATACAATAATGGGAGGGGAACAATCTAGGGGTGCATACGCAATAGGAAGAGGAGGGATCAGGGGTACACATGTGACAAGATGGGCGGATCCTAGACTCAAGATGGAGCATAACCTTGATTGTCCTTGAGCTAGAGACTTGACTTATGGAGTGGAATCTACTGCCCTCAACAGCAGGGAGTGAGACCCGCCTATGGTGGGATTAAACAATAGTGTCTGATTGCTCTGGATGCCTACAGGGAGAATATCTCTAAGCATCTGACCTCCCACCTTGTCCTGGCAAACAACCTCTTAGGATAGGCATATATTTGGGGGAGACAAAACTGGGGAAAGTCTGTTTATATCCCACAACAACCCTAATGTACACCTTTCCAGATTTTAATCTATTCAGTACCTACTTCTGTTTGAACAACTTGCCTCTTAGTCCATTATGGGTTTTACATAAGAACAATTAAATCATCTGGAAATTCCATTCTTTGCCATGTTACCCCCAAATTTTAAGATACACATAGTCAAATACTTTTGCATAGTCAATAAACCACAAGTAAACATCTTTGATAGTTATATAATCAGTTATATCTGAGATTATGTGAAGGGGTGGAGTCTAGCCTGTCAATCATTGTTTAGCCAATAAGGCCTCTATGTGGGTATAGCCTTCCCCTGAGGATTCTAGGAATTCAGGTATTTTCCTCCCTGGAGGCGGGAGATACTTTCTCTGCTCACTCCCTGCGACATTGCAGCTACACATGGAACTACACTAGTGCCCTGAGCTGGAGAAGCCACGTGGAAACCCCTGCCAGCACTGAGATGCTTACACCACTGGATCCACAAGACTTCCCACCCACTGGCCTGTGATCTTCCTGCACTCAGCATCATTGCATGTGTTTTGTGAGTCTGAAGAGGACTTTATAATTTGGTATCAGACATATGGGCTAATATCTGGACTGGGCTGGGATGTTTTCTCTTACTCAATTGTTCTTGTATGTAAACTTCTTTCTTATACACAGAAAATAAAAACATTTTAAAAAGCTTTCATTAATTTCTTGTCAATCAAGTTGCAGCTTCAGCTAAGTGCTTCCAGTGCTGTCCACTTTCAGCAAGCACTGTTCGGTGATCTACACACCACGAGTTGTGACTACTTGATATTCAATCAAGTATTATTTATGTTAATATCTTCCCCAAACTTGAATCATCCCCCAAATTCATCAACTGTTGAATACTAATATTGAGCAATTGAAAAGTGACTCTCCACCATTTCTTCTCCAAGCAAACACCAAATGACACCTGATGCCAGTGCAGAGGGAGAGCCTGGGGGGCCTGGGGCCGGGGGGCGGGAGCTCGTGGCAGCTTCTGAGGAGGTTCCCGCAGCGGCTAGCGAGGACATGGTCATGGCCATGGTTGGGGCCACGGAGCTGGCAGAGGCAAAGCCTCTGTCACCAAGCTGAGTCATCTGATCAAGGATATGAAGATCAAGTCCCTGAAGGAGATCTACCTATTCACCCTGCCCATCACAGTGAGTCTGAGATCATTGACTTCTTCCTGGATGGTCAAGGATGAGGTCCTAAATATCATGCCTGGGCAGAAGCAGACCCAAGCTGGCCAATGGACCAGGTTCAAGGCCTTTGTCGCCATCGGGGACAACGGCCACATTGGCCTAGGTGTCAAGTGCTCCAAGGAAGTCGCCATCCACAGGGCCATCATCCTGGCCAAATTGTCCATTGTCCCCATGTGGTGAGGCTACTGAGGGGACAAGATCGGCAAGCCCCACAAGAGTCCCCTGCAAGGTGACCGGCCACTGTGGGTCTGTGCTGGTACATCTCATCCCTGACCCCAGGGGCACCGGCATCGTCTCAATCCCTGTGCCCAAGAAGCTGCTGATGGTGGCAGGGATTGATGACTGCTATACCTCGGCTAGGGGCTGCACAGCCACCCTGAGCAACTTCACCAAGGCCACCTTTGATGCCATCTCCAAGACCTACCCCTATCTGACCCCTGACCTCTGGAAAGAGACAGTGTTCACCAAGTCTCCCTACCAGGAATTCACTATTGTAAAGACCCACACCAGAGTCTCCGTGCCGAGGACCCAGGCACCAGCGGTGACTACCACAGAGTCGATTTTATATAAAAAATAATAAAGTGAATTGAGTCTGCCAAAGAAAAATGACTGCCCACCACCAACAAAAACAAAAGAACTCACTGCCATCAAGTTAATGCTGACAAAGCGACCAGTACATATAAAATGAATACATTTCAAATGCATTATGCTAAGTGAAAGAAGTCAGACTCCAGAAAGTTACATACTGTATGAGTCCATTTACATGACCTTCTGAAACAGGCCAAACTATAGGACAGAAAACAGACGAGCAATTTCCCTGGAGATGGAGGACTATGAAGGGGAGAGAAGGAATTGGGGGACTGGTGAGAATGGTTTTATTATGGCGGAGCTTAAATGGTGGCATGCGTTTGTCAACATTCATCTAACTGCTCACCTATAAGGTGAATTTACGTAAAGACTTTCTACCCCTATAGAGTACAGTCTCAGAAACTCAAAGGGCTAGTTCTACTTGGTCTATAAGGTTACTGTGAGCATCAATCTGATGGCAGGTAGTCTGTTTGGGCTTTTTGGTTTATATTTCCTTAATAGATCGGACTTTACTAACAAAATGTTATCTACGATAGTGAAACACTGGAAAATAAGCCAAATGTCAAAATGGAAGTGCACACGTTAGCAAGGTAAAATAAAAAAAACTATAAAACCACTAAAATGATTTAGATGTACTTGGTTGACATCTAAAACTCGGCCTATTAGTTTAAAACACTGTTTATTATTCAGATGTAAATAAGAAATGTGTCTGGAAGAAACATTAAATATGTTGATAAGGATTATCAGTGGTGATGAGATTACATAAATTTTAATACTGTTTTGTACCTACTTATCTCTTTGAAATTTTGATATGACTTGTTCTCTCTCCTTTTAAATGGCAGTAGATGTGGAAGTACTAATGTGGTCACTAGAAAGTCCTGGTTGGAGATTTGCTCTAAAACATTTCAAACCCTCCTTCCTATATAGGCAAGAGACAGCAGAAGCCAGATATTCAGGGTCAGGTGACCTCAGAGCTAAGAAATGCAGGTCAAGCCAGTTGAAGTACAGCCTGAGTAGGTCCAGAATTTGAATTTGAAAGAAAATTAAGAATTTGAAAGGAAGATTCACTTTAAGCAATAGAAGGATCTAATTTTCAATAGCTATACAATTGTTTTATTTTTCCTCTCCTATAATGAAAATTATTTGCTTATTGAAGAGCATGGAAATCAAAGTCACAGAAAAAAGTTTTAAATGTCATCTTAGTGGCCAGCATCCAACAACCTTAAAGAAAAGATGTAGGCTATCAGACCTACCTGCTAAGAGACTTCGTTTTAAAAGGAGTATTCTGTTTGAACATTTGTTCCTACGTTTCTATATTCTGCTTTTATTCTTCATTTTAGTGGCTTCACAGAGGTCTAGTTTACACACAATAAAATTGACTGATTTTAAATATCATTACTCATCATCAAGTTTGATGTGTTTTGATAAGTGCACAGTCCTGTAACCACCACCACAATGAACGGACAAAACATTCCCACCAGCTCAAAAACGTGCCTCCCCTTTAAAGCGCTTCCTTTTGCCCATCCTCACCCTTAGCACCCAGGCTCTGCTTCTTGTTAGCACCTTACCTCATCCAAGTTTGCACATCGTGGAGCCACACAGGAACTGCACATGCGTGTCCTCTTCCTCTCCCGCAACATGGTTGTGAGATTCATTCATGTCATTGCATTTGTTGAATTTGTTCCTTTTGATGGAATAGTATTGTCAGATATGGATATAATTGCTGTATCTGTTCACCCGATGAAAGGCATTTGAGCTATTTTCAAATTGTGGCTATCATGACTAAAGCTGCCACCGAAAACTCGGTACAAAACTGAAATTTTTATTTCTTTTGGGTAAATACCAAAGGACCACACCAAATACCAAAGAATCAACCCAGTAGATTCCAAGAAATGATGACCGCACATGTAGCAGATTAGAAACTCTATGGGTGTCTAATGACTATTTTTCACTCCTAAAAGTGAATTATAGGGCTGGCGGAGAATACTGAAAGTACCATGGACTGCCAAGGACCAGCAAATCTGTCTTGAAAGACATACCGCCAAGTGCTCTTTAGAGGCAAGGAGAGCGAGACTTTGTCTTACACACATACTTTGCACATGTTGTCAGGAGAGACATCACCCTTGGTATCGCAGAGGGGCCGGGAAAAGGAGGGAGGCTCTTGCCGAGATGGGCTGACCCAGCAGCTACAGAAATGGGCTCAAGCACAGGAGCAACTGTGAGGAAAGACCGGGCCAGGCAGGGTTTTGTTCCACTGTACACAGTTGCTGTGAGTTAAAATCGACACGGTGGCAACTGACAAGAACAAAAAGAATGAAGAAAGACAATTTCAGTACTAACAACTATTTGTATCTTCCTTATATCAATTATACTAACCAAAAGGAAGAATGCAAACATTTCTTAATCTTTTTTCTAATAAAATTTATTAGTGGATTCTTGTAAAACAGTTGAAGTATTAAAGTATAGTGAATCTCATACATTTTTCTAGTCCCTAAGGAGTCACACACTAGCATATTTTCACCATCTTCTAAAATAATTCCTAATAACTAGAAGGTATTTTCCTTACAGACTTCAACTCGCATGACTGAAAACAATACATTCACATAATTGCATAAATACTCCTCATATTATAAATTCTGTTGGAATTTTCTCTTATGAGTAACGGTAAGAATCTCTTTTTATACAAATTTCATTTTGAAAAAAATGGTAATTTCAGCTACTCCATATTACCAAAACAATATCTATTATAACATGCCTATACATGTTTTTCAAATTAGTTATAATAGCTGCTACAAGAAAACAAAAGCATTTCTCCACTCATTCCCAAAATGAGAAACTTCCCTAAATTCACAATGCTGCTTGCATAATTCTTGGCTAAGTTTCCATGTAAAACTCTACAACCAAAAAAATGTAAGTATCAGAATCCAGGGATATAAGTTTCAATAGTCCAGAGAATCCCAATATTAGCAAATTACAGGTCTACAAAATTCAAAATGACAATTTAGACATCCTTATTTGAATACCAATAATACCATTATAGAAGTTAACAACTACAAATAATCACTGGACTGTACCACAAGCAGCAAGTAAGAAAATATCAAGTTTTCCGAATTACATATAGTAATAAAAAGGAATATTTTTAAATTATGGTCTCAAGTTATATAAAATATAAACATTATAAGTCAAGAAACTTCAGAAACAACAAGCTAAGACTTGAACCTCAGTTTCAAGCTACTTGCTAAAATGACCAGAAAGTCCATTTCACTGAATTAATGAAAACAAAACTTGTCCCACGATAAGAGGTTTCCGTGGTAAAAAATGAAACTTTAAAAAACATAGGAAACAAAAGGTAATATGAGAAGCTTTGTGATGTAAACCATAATATGTAGATTCCCTTTACACGGTATCTATCAATTCAGTGCCCTATTTTCAAAGCTAGTCATATAAAATTATTTTTAAAGTATTTCATTTCTATATAAGCTAAATGGCTCGAAGGAACAAGCGGCCCTATTACAGCACAACACTTGCAGTGTCTAACAGGAAGTTGTGGTGTTTTAAACACATTTTACAAGGAGGTGGAAGACTGAGAAACACTAAGGCACAAGTCACAGACTGCTACATTCTGGTCCCGTTGTTGCAAAGAGTGAGGGCACACCCGGTGTGTCCCCCAGGCCCAGCACAACTGCTCTGCGTCAATGCACCCAGTCCCGTGGCTGGCGCAGAACTTCCAGAATCTCAGCTTCTCTGGAGTCCTCTGGGGGTGAATGCATGTATTCCCACCTGTGCAGGACCACAACAGAAGGTAAGAACTATAAGAAGAAGAACAAATGACACACGTATGTCTGACACACAGACCTCTATACTTCTTATTGCAAGGTAATTAAAACATTTCTAAAGACTTGAAAAATTCTACAAAGAATGAAAAACACTTTACACTTCTTTGTCCTGTTCATTGTCTGCCAAAGAACAAGGGATTAGTCCCTAATCAGCCTGCACCTGCAGCTTGGGATCCGCACTGTCACTAGAGGTTGGTCAGACCACTGCGAGCCCTAAGGACTCATCGCCTGTGTGTACTTCTGCCCTGTCGGGTGGCTGGAACACATGACAGTGATGTGTGTGATCTTGCTCTCGCCAAGGCAGGGGATCCTGAAATCACTGGGTGCCCTCGTGCAGGCACAAAGCAGCAAGGACAAGCAGACCTCTGAGGTCATCCAGTAAGGCAAGCGCAGGCACTTCTTCCTCATCTTTCTGACTGCAGGCTGGGCGCACATCACTCTCAAGGGCTTACAGCCAAGAGGACAGCTGCACGTCTTGAGGCCATCATCCTAACGGCACTCACAAAAATAGACCCGTGGCTCTCAAATTCTCTAAACAAATGAACAGCCGAGCACGTACGAAGGTCCACTCCAGGGCATGCTAAGCAGAGAGAGAATGCTGCCGTACTAACCTCTCTGTCCTTGCTTTGCACAGATGTAATTCCTCAGCCTGGACAAGTTGGAACAGTCCTTTCTTACACAGATGAGTTTAAAATGTTGATGTGTTCAAATAAACGTGCCTGCCCCATAGCTCGTCCCAGAAATGTACTGGGTAGAGAAGCTTAAGCAGACACTCCTGCTGGCAGCCCCCACCCAACTCCACATTCTCATTTTCCTCCTCCTCCTGTTCTCACACACAAAGCAGTGCCATTCATCCTGTACCCCTGAAAAACGCAACTTGATTTTCCATAATTGTGTGGCCTTCATTTTCCTCTAAAATCAATACTCAAGTCCGACTAAGCCCGAGATTAGACATTTGGGGTGTCAACGTTCATATTTGTGGGGGCATTGAGAGCAGGCATAGATGCTTTACATCATCTCCTTACCGGGCGGTCAGAGGTAACGACATCAGGATGCTCTCGATCCTGGATCCTGGAGTGAAGAGCCCGAACTTTGTGCCCCGATCATAGAGCAGGTTAAACTCCACATATCTGCCATGGGGACATCACCGAGCATTAGGGTAACTCGCATGTAAATACTGAAAGAAGAGGAACGGCCTCTTCCCTCTCCCCCACTCCCCACCCCAAGCAGATGGAGCTGGCTCAGAATCCACAGCATTTTCTCCATCTGGGCGAGAATGAATCATGGGTATTCTCTCCACCAGACAATAGGGTAGAGAGTCTGGGCCGCACGAAACCGTTATAAAACAAGGTGGTTATGTTTTCTGGTACACAAACAGAGCGGACACACAGCTGCAAACTCGAAGGCACCACGGGCAGTAAAGCAAAAGAGCTCTTGTCCTTTCTCACGACAGCACAGCTCCTGCTGGTACTGCCCGTGTCCGAGACGTTTCAGTCAAGGTTTCCTCTCTCTGCCTGTAAATAAGAAAGCACTTTTACAAAGACAGTGCAAAACGTTTATATTCGGAAAACCAGGTATAGCTAACAGCAATGTCTTAAAAACTATTATGTTTTGATGCGCCCCTTTTCTTAGAGTAAATACATCATTGTACTCATACAATGCAGTCTTCCTGCATATTAATAACAGTCATACAATGTGTGTTTGCATCACGGGACTCAGCTTTTTATTTTCCAGAAAAATGTTCTTTGACATCAGGAGGAATTTGGTCTGAAACATTAGCTTCCTATTAACGACCACAGAGTAAGTTCTAGACTCCATCCAGCATCCAACATCAGGGTATCCTTTGTAAAGTGGGTGTTCCTCCCCATTTCAGAAGGATAACTTCTGCTCCCTCGAAAATTTAGAATGATCCACAAATCTGAAAATGTCAAAATATTTCCTCCTTCAAATCACTTCTCAACTCACTCACAAACTACTCACTTGATCGAACATTTTCTCAGATATTAATATTGATTCCTTTGGTTCCTGCTTTTAAGTTCAATCTGCTTGAGCTGATTCTGACTCACAGCGACCCTTTAGAACAAGGTAAAACTACTCCACAGAGTGTCACAGGCGGTAGTCTTCAGGAAAGATGCCCACTCTGTCCTGTAACAGCTGAGCACTATGATGGGCTTCTTTAAGTCCACAAAATCAAGAAATTTTCTAAACCCGCAGAGCACTTGAATTTTTTTTTTCACAGAAACTTTAAAAAAGCCCTACAAAAATCCAAATACACTATATCCTGGGTCCTTTCTTAGTCTTTACCATTTATTCACTATTTACGGAATGTTGTGCATTAGTAACTAATACCTTCTTCACACTCATCTCAAAAGATAATCTAAGAGAAACCTTTCAATGATTTCTTGACTAAGACTCCAGGAAGAAAATGTAAGTCTCCGGAACTATATGTGACCTCCTCCCTGGGGGACGGACAACAGAAAAGTGGGTGAAGGGAGACGTCGGACAGGGCAAGATATGACAAAATACCAATTTATAAACTATCAAGGGCCCATGAGGGAGGGGGGAGCAGGGAGGGAGGGGAAAAATGAGGACCTAATGCCGGGGGTTTAAGTGGAGAGGAAATGTTTTGAGAATGATGAAGGCAATGAATGTACAAATGCGCTTTACACAATTGATGTATGTATGGATTGTGATAAGAGTTGTATGAGCCCCTAATAAAATGATTAAAAAAAAAAAAAAGAAAATGTCAGTCTCTTGGTCACCTTTTTCACCCCTCATGTTAATGTTCTGAAATGACTGTCATTTCCGAATGGTCACGGTTTTCTGTCAACATGTACAAAGACCTACCATGGAGACCCTTGTCAGAAGCTCCTTGAATTAACTGCTTCTGGCTCACTTAATCTCTTTACTGTCAGGTCTTCAGCTCCTTTAACTTCTTGAGTGAAAGGTGCCCATTCCCTCTGTTAAGCCCTCTGACTCCCACCAGGTCTCACCTAGATCTAATCTAAATGATTCTTCCCATACAGCATCCTCTCTGAGCTGCCTGCCAAGTATGGACTTCCACCATTTCCTTCAAATTAACTAAACGCTCCAAATCCTATTCTCTTTCTCTTGCCCCTGACCAAAAAAAAAAATTTTTTAAGAAATAAAAATTTATTAACATTTTTCTCTTCTTTTGTCTTATGGGTGGGTGGGAGAAAAGGTGAGTGTGAAAGTAAAGATCAAAGGCTTAGGGAAAGAACCATTGGATTGAGGGTAAAAGACAAAAGAAGCTGCCAAATAAGGGACTGTCTAGTCAACGGGGAACCAGGCGAGCCAGTGAAGGGAGCTGGTATGTGTGGTGGGTGGCAGCTGGAGACAAGTACACTGGGAAGGGCACTGCAAAGCGGTTACGAGTGTCGTATAAGAAAACGAAGACAGTGCTGATACCTCCAGTAAATAGCTAGGCTTATCTTCAACCCCAGAAGGTACTGCCACCTTAGAGCTCAGAGATAAGGGTGGCAGAAAGTAGGCTCTCTGTGAGGAGCGGTGAGCACACGGCACCACAGAAATTTAATCTCACACTCCATTTCTGCCTAGCTCAAAAGACATTGGACAAGTCCACTCCCAAATGGAACTTCTAAAATGCCAGCCAAAAAAATGGAAAACGTATGCCCACACAAAGACCTAGACACAAATGTTTACAGCACCTTTATTCACAATGGCCCCAAATCGGAAGGCACCACGACACTTTCAATAGGTGACCAGATAAAAGAACTGTGGTATGTCCATGCAGTGGGAGGTTGTTAATCGGAGAGGAAAACAAATGTGGGAGATCAAGATATTAAAACAAGGGAGGAACCTTACGTGAGTGAGAAGCCAGTGTGACAAGGCTGCATATTGTATGATTCCAACTCTATTCCAACTGCAGACAGTGCAAAGATCAGGGGCTGCTGGCGTTTAGCAGGGAGGGAAGAGTGATGAACAGTGGGGCACAGGGCATTTCAAAGGACAGTGAATCTCTTCTGTATGATACTGTCATGATGGAAACCGATCATTATGCACTTGTCAAAACCCACAGAACCGTACAGCATACATCCTACAGAATACATCCTAATATAGACAAAGGACTGCCGTTCCTAGTAATGTATAAGTATTGCTTCATCAATTGCAGCGAAAGTGCCACGGGCATGCAAGATGCTAATAACTGGGGAAACTGTGCTGAAGTGAGCAAGGGGCTTATGGAAACGCTATACTTTCTGTAAGATTTTCTTGTAAAAATAAAGTATAATATGTAAATATCGTCAAATGATATTTTTAAAAGAGGAAAAAAACAATGAATGAACCTGACTCATATCTAAGATCGTTCATATATTATGAAGGCTTTAACTCATTAGTATTCCAAACATTCTATCAGTTTTGCATTTGATATCTTGCGCACATTTGAAGTCTAGAAGCCTGCACTTTCCTAGAATTTTAATGAATTGGTTTAAGTAGCCTTCCCCCTAAACTGCAAGCTTCCCTGGGCAAAGCCCACGCCATGCTCACCTTTGCCAGCTGCACACCACAGTGCAAGGCACGGGAGGAAGGAGTGATACAAACAAAAAAAGGGGAATCATGGAGACACATAAAAACACACATGTCTCAAACCAGATAAACTGTTCATGAAATTTCTAATGAGGAAACTTAATCAAATCTCACTTATTCAAGTTTATAACTGAAAGCCAGGTAGCATGGGCAAACAGAAAAATCACATAGCTTTAGTGTGAGGGCCAGGAATTCAGCTGTCCTTTCAGAGCAATAGCTTTACCTTCTTCCAAAAAAGAAAGCTCAAGCCCACTGCTGTCAAGGGGCCTGTTTTCTCACGGTGGCCCTACTGGATTGAATACAGCTGCCCACAAGAAGCATCTGGTGGGTGCAGCCTCTGACCTTGTGGTTTGCAGCCAAGTGCTTTAATCACTGTACCACCAAGCTCCTTGCCCCACGTTCTGAGCAGAATTGACATGCAGTGAGAAAATCCATTTTATAGGCCAAGGATTAGAAGTATGGATGCATTTAAGATGGCAATGGGAACCTGCGGGGGCACTGACCTATTTAACCTGGCTTTTCTAGCCAAAGTCTCTAACTGGCACCAAACAGCCTTTCAGTGCCTGGGTCTGGGAAAGGACTAGAGGACACTGTCAGGACTCACCCGGGAGTAACAGGTCACGGGCTTCCATTGACCGCCACCCTGCTGGCTATCAAATGAGCTGACAAGTGTGAGGAGGAGTACTCACTACCAGAGAGTGAGGAGTAGATCACATTTTCTGGACCCCGAGGTCCCTGAACAGTGACCCTGCTGGACCCAGACGATAACTGTGACTAACAGCTGAGGCCCAGTAGCAGCACCAGGAGCCAGAGCGCGAGACGAGTGGTGGACCTCCCAGCCCACAGAACAAGGCAAGCTGAGTGCTTTGGGACAGGAGGCTGGCTTGTGGACAGGGGTGGCCCTAGACACTTAACTGGGGGAGCTGAATGCCTTCGGACTGAGGCTTACTAGAGTGCAGTACCTCTGGGTACTTAAGTCCACGAGGTGGGTTTGCTAAATTTGAGCTGAATGCCTTCAAGTTGAGGCTTACAGCCGAGTAAAGTCCTTTGGACAAGTGTTAGCAGCCTTGAAAGAGTAACCATTATGAGTATCGTCTGTGAGTTCTGTGTAGCCGATGTAATAAGCTATAGAATCTACATCCATAAGGTAGAGAGTTATTTGAGACAGAACTCAGAAACTGACGTGGTCTGGTAGGACAACAAATTTGGAGCCAACCCACAGGTACAACACGGCTGAAAATTGGTCACTGAACCACATTCACCTGGCTGAATGCACAGAGCAGGCTTGACTCATTCCTAATTTCCTTCTTGTACAGAAAAGAATGTACATTTGGAAGTCGCGATATGTTAGTTCCACATCAAAAATCTTAGATTTGTGTATTGTGTGTAATCTTGGAAAGGGCACTTCCTGAGACTGTTTTATTATCCATAAAATGATGACAACTACGGCTATCTCATATGTTTACTGAAAAAAATTAGATTCAGATTGTCTAAAAAGACTAGCTGGTACTAGCAAGGAGTTCATACTTAATAAACATTATCCTTAAATACAATTTTTGGTAGTATGATTTCAATTCAAACATTCATGAAGCCTTTAATATCGGTGAAAAGAGGTATTGATTTCAAATGTAAGAAACAGCAAAAAAAATTAAATGGCCACCTCTCAGCCTACAGCTGGTGTGTGTTGTGAACAGACTTCATGATTTCAGTCCAATCGCGCAATTTCCGCGACACTGATGTACAGACAGTGGCACAAATGAGAGCTTTCAATTTACGAAATTCAGGAAAAACAAACCCCCTCAGAAACAGTAATGGGAGCAACGATTCCAGGAGGGCATGGGAAGGAAAGGGAGAGAAAGGCTGCATCGGTTCATTGGTCAGCAGTACCCAGAGGTACTGCACTCTAGTAAGTAGTAGGTAAAGGGATAGAATGGTTGGTGTAAGATATGTATAAATAATAATAACAAGCCATAATATATTAAGGATTGGCAGGGGTAGCAGAGAGGGGAAGGAGGAGGAAAAAACAGCTGATATCAGAGGGCTCAAGAAGAAAGATAATGTTTAGAAATTGTTGATGCCAATCATTGTACATGTCTGCTTCAGATAATGGATGTATGGTTTGTTATATGTAAGAGCCCCCAATAAAATGGTGTATTTAATTTTAAAAAATCAGTTGAATTAAATTCAGTAAGTATTTACTACCTGCCCATTATGAGCCTTTAATGGATACACTCAAGAACTCACCACCATGGAGTCATTGCTGATTCTCAGTGACCCCCTGTGGGTTTCCGAGACTGTTAACTGTTTACAGGAGGAAAAAGCCGTCTTTCTCCCACAGAGCAGCTAGTGGTTTTGAACTGCTGACCAATGGACCGATGCAGCCTAATGCATAACCACTACACCACCAAGGCTCCGAATGTATATAGGTGAACTGAATAGTCTTTTCAATTCTTCTAACACTATTGTGTATGTGTCTTAATATTCATTCAATATCCCTCTATTTGTGACCAGGAATTAACAAAATAGAAATGCTGGAGGCACATTGGTTAAGCTCTCGGGAGGGCATCCCAAAGGCCAGCCGTGGGAACCCACGGGAGAAGGACGTGGCAGTCTCCTTCCTTAGAGGTGACAGCGTCAGCCACCCAAAAGGGCAGTCCAAGTCTGTCGGGCTAGACTGGAGGCTCACCGCTATGAGCAGGATGGGTTTGGATTGGTTTTTATGAAGGAGTCCATTACCAAGGACCCATCCAGGGCAACAAAGCACCCTTGGTGATGAGATTACAGCTATGCCCCCAGCTGCAGGGAGACCACTATTCCCGCTCACCGGCCTCTCCGGAGCTGCTGCCACAGCTTTTCCTGGGGCGTGAATGCGTCCTCGCAGTGCTTCTTCACGATGGGGATGTAGGACGGGACGACAGCCTTGGCACAGCTCTGCACAAAGCGGAACACCTCTTCCTCGGAGGGGGAGTCCAGGTCGTCGAAGAAGATCCCGCCGATGCCCCTCCGCTCTCCGCGGTGGGCTATAAAGAAGTAATCATCACACCTGGAAAGGCAACCACCCAAATGAGGAGCCAGAGGGGAGCACGAGGAAAGACCTGAAAGGTGACGAGAACGTCCTTTACCATCGAGCAGGAAGACACTCAGGCCGTGGACAGGTTTCCCACAGATAAGCTCCGTGTTGACAGGGCCCATACTCCTGGCTGCAAAGCAACCGGGCAAGTGCACTTGAGTTTACTACAGGATATGAAACTCTTACGAACCTCGGTGAAAGAAACCAAAAGTCCAATATAATACCGTGTTTCTTGAAGCAAGTGGTGATGCTTGTGCTTTTGCAGGAGATGGCAGCAGGGCCGTGACACTGACTAGATCTGACTTGCCACCACCCCTAAACTCTCTGGAGGGTTTTTTTCTCACCAAAGAGGGGTAGTTGTCCCTCTATGGTTTCTCTTGGCAAAGCAATGTGATTCCGCACGCATGACTTGGGGGAGAGCTGGGGGAAGGAAATGTTCAGGGAATGCGTCCTCTGCAGCCCGGTCCAGTGTTGTCCACAGGGGGCAGCACACAAAAGGATCCATGGCTCTTGGGTCTCTCCTAATCTGTCCACCACCATGGGTTTCCTAAGAAGCTACAATGATTAACCTCTAGGAAGTACAGTTCTTTTGATGACCTCCTAAACATCATGAGGGCTCCTAAATAGGAAAACCTGCACACACACAAAAACTGAAAGGTCACCTTAACAACGCCTTGACTGCTTCAACAGAAAGATAAAGCCCAAAACGATGTGTTGTTAAAATGCACTTCAAGTGTGCCTCGCTGGCTTCCCTTCACAAGCACGTTTCATTAACGTTGTTAGGAAAGTATGTCCTAGGCAATGTGGTGAAGGCAGCCTTTAATTACAGGCGGTCTCTGGGTTACCAATATTAGGACAGCTGCACTCATAAATAGGCCCTACCTATGAAATGATGAAAACAACCCTTCCCGCCCACCCTCCAGCCCCGTCCTACTGCCGTGGATTTGATTCCAACACCTGGAGACCGTACATGGAGTTTCTGAGATCTTAATCTTTACAGAAGCAGACAGCCTCCTTCTCAGAAAGAGCGGCTGGTGGGTTTGAAATGCTAACCTCACAGTTTGAAGGGCTCCTTACTCCTAACAAACTCATCACAATTACTTTCTGTGATATATATGCAGCTTTTAAATCATCAAAATGCCTCGAGCCTACAGGTTCCATAAGGACTGTTCAGCACCTTTTGGGCTCACCTACACATTCCACTTAAAGACAGTTGGAAACGAATCCAGTTCATAGCCCAGGGGCTTCCTGTATTCCAAAATGTCTCTTCATGGGATTATAACATTAGCAGACAGACCACACAATTATACTAAGAATTTCTTTTTCCGTAACCTGATCTTAGATTTTTTTTAAATCATTTTATTGGGGGCTCGCACAACTGTTATCACAATCCATCCATCCATCGTGTCAAGCACATTCGTACATTTGCTGTCACCATCATTCTCAAAACATTTGCTTTCTACTTGAGCCCTTGGAGATATTGTATTAAGTAATAATACTAAAGGGACATTACTAACCAGTAGGAATAAGAATAAACCAGTACCCATTAATCCTCCTCCCGGAAGCTGACTCATTTGTGGGAGAGAGAAAAGAACGATACCAAAATAAAACACCTGTATCTTACATGTAGGTGTCTATAGCTGCGTAGTTCTCTCAGTGGTACAGTTAAATCAAGGGAATGTGCAAATATTTTATTTTTTCTAGTAATTTTAAAACTGAAATTGATGCTCTTACATAAGATACATCAATGTCCCTAATTATTTTCATAAAAAGTGGAGGGGGGTGGCTTTCTGGGTTATTATTATTAAAGAAGGCCTATTAGCTCTAAGCAATCCCCAGAACTTTACTCATATTCCAAACAATGTATGCCAAGACCTCATTTGACATAAAGCAAATGTTTCCAGTCTTTCATTACTTTAATGAAGACTTCCACTCTACTTTCCTCTTGTTCAAAGTCTCTGATACAACTGCATCTCCCCTCAGTAGTTCTCCAATCATTTCTAAGCACTACTGAATCCCCATGGCAACAAAAAGACAGTAGCTCCCATCTAAGGTGGTGACCATCTCACCCTAGATTCAAAAAGCCCGATAAGGAAGCAAATAAGCCCACATGGAAGAAGCACACCACTCTGTGTGATCATGAGGTGTCGACAGGATCAGGTATCAAAAGATCCAAGACAAACAATTATATCGATGCAAAAGAGGGGGGTTGGAGTGGAGACTCAAAGTCCATCTGTAGACAATTGGACATCCCCTCACAGAAGGATCACAAAGAAGGGACAAGTCAACCAAGGTGAAGTACAGCACCGAAGAAACACACATCATTCCTTTAGTTCCTGAATGCTTCCCTCCCCTCCCCCATACTACCATGACCCAGTTCTACCTTACAAATCCAGGTAGACTGGAGTACACACATTGGTACAGATAAGAGCTCTCAATATGTAGAATTCAGGACAGATAAATCCCTCAGGAACAGTAGTGGAAGTAGTGTTATCATTAGGGTAGGGGGATGGGGGAAAGGGGGAGAAAGGGGAAACCCATCACGAGGTTGCATATATAGCCACCCCTCCCAAGGGAGTCGAATAAGAGAAATGTGGGTGAAGGGAGACAACAGTGTAAGACAGAAAATAACAATAATATATAATTGACAAAGAAACTCATGAGGGTGAGAGGGGAAAAAAGTGGAGCTTATACCAAGAGGTCAAGCAGAAAGAAAATGTTGATGGCAACATATGCACAAGTGTGCTTAATGCAACTGAATGATGGATTGTTATAAGATTTGTAAGAGCCCCCAATAAAATTATGTAAAAAAAAAAAAAAAAGCCCTGATTCTCAGACACATATCACTCCCCTGTAAGGTCTACACCTATCATTCCAAACCATTCTAAAGCATTCAAAAAGGCTGATACTCAATTTGCAATCTAGACGTAAATATATTAACATTTCTAAATAATTAACTTATTAAAACGACTCCTGTAGAGAATGGTATTCCAGTTCTGGTGAGCAAAGTTCAATCTTCACAGGCTGAACATGGTGCTATGTGACAAAACATTACCTTTGGGGGGGGGGGTAGGTTAGGTAGATAGAAATATAGAAATATACATATAGTTTGCCAGCGACTTTGAGGATCATGCCAAGTTCCGTGCCTTTACCTACCACTTTTTAAATTTGGGGTAGAGCTCTGGCCCGTGCGGGTCACATGCTTCCTTCAGAGTCCTGTGAAAATGGACAGCATCGTCTTGGTTCAAGTACGTTGGAGTCAGGTCACATCCACCACCAAACCACCACTGCTTGCTACCTGCCAAGTCAACACATTTGATTTTAATGAGATGTAGCATGCTTTTGATCGTGTTTGCAAGCCTAATTTATCAACTTCATTCGCTATGTGCAAAATGAGTGACAATTCCAAAATCAGAACCATAGCTTTAGCCACAGGAAAGCCTGTGCAGGAAAGCAGAGGTAGAGGCAAAAAGAAAAAGCAAATATAAGGGAAGAGAAATGATATGCTCATGACAGTGAATAATAAATACCACACAGGCACACCAGACAATAGTTCCCAACTCTGGCTGCAAGCACCTTGGCTAGGTCACAACTAAAATCAACGATCTGGTTGTAGACAGAAAGACGGGGCTTTCTACTCTGCCAACAGCCACAATGTCGGAAATCAACAGGGGTCGCCACGAGTCGGCATGGACTTGATGACAGTGAGTCTGGTTTTTGCTCTTCTGATCGGGTTGAAAGGCCAGGGCATCTATAAAACCCACAGCAATGAAGTGAAAGCTGACCTATAGAGGGTATCCTACACTACACGTCTACAGAAGCCGACAGCCACAATTGTATGTGTGCACTTTAGTGGTTGTCAATACCAGCTGTTTGTTTTTTCAAGCTACCTTGGAATCGATTCTGACTCCTGATGGCCCCTGTGTCAGAACACAAGTGTTCCACAGGGTTTTCATCCCCGTGAACTTGCAGAAGGAGATCACCACACCTTTCTACCAAGACATCTCTGGATGGATTTGAACCACCAAACTTTCCGTTAGTAGCTGAGTGCTTAACAGCATGTATGACCTGGAGACTCCCTGAAGAACCACTTATCAACTTTCATACGTTAGAAGGTTGAACAAACTGAATGGCTTCAAAATGAACAATTAAAAGGATGACTATAAATGTCAGCACCTGCAGAGACGTCTAGAAGTGTAGGTAAAGCAAGGTATATACACTCTGACACTGTAGGTAAAGCAAGGTACACACACTCTGATGACAGCTGGCCATGCTGAAGGGAGACACAGGTGGGTCTACAAGGGGCATAATCAACTGTACTCTGTCAACCACTGATACAAACAGGGGACCAGCCATGCAATGCATCTGAACACAGTCCACAAGCAGTAATTTCAACTTGGCCTCAGACATAAGGTTTTCTTTGAGGCATAGTGAATTTATATTTGCAAACAGCCCAGTTGTGTAACTGATATTATTACATTACATTGCAGAAAACATGGAGAGGTCAGAGGCCAGCCACTACCCTTCTCACTGTTCAAGTCTAGTGCATAATTCACTGCACCTGCCAGGGCACAAACCTGGGAAGACTACATTTACTCTTTCAGATCTTCTGTCTTCTTACCTGTTTTAAAATACATATTTTGTACAACACGAGTTTCCACAGCACGAGAGATCCTTACCGTCTGCTTCTTCCACTTCAAAGTATCTGTAGTTGAAGTGGATCGTGGGAGCATGAGGATTCTTAGGATGGATCACAGAGCTCACACCCATCGCAAAAAATGGCAATTTACCTAGAAAGTCAATCACACAGTGAGCTGAGAACACCGGAGGCAAAGAAACCAGCTTCAATGTGTTATCTGGATCAACTGTCAAAAGGTTTTCCATTTTCTCTCAAAATACCTTTTTTGGAAAAGTGATCGTTACTGTTGTTCACCACCACTCAGCCTGTCCCTGATTCACGGTTTCCCCATGCACCAGGATACAAAACACTGACCAGTCCTGCATCCATGGCCGGGTGAATCATTGTGATCCAGAGGGTTTCCAACGGCTGATGTATCAGAAGTCGATCATCCTTCCTAGTTAGTCTACCTTAGTCTGGGTGCCACAAAAACCTGGTCAGCATCACAGCAGCACCCAGGCCTCCTGACAGATGGGTGGTGGGAGTTGTGCCTGAGGTGCACTATCCAGAAATCAAACGTGGTGTCCACACGGAACACAAGAATCCTACCAGCGAACCACCAGTTACTCCTCGGCACTTACTGATAGGGGACCTAGGTATTCATATGGCATTTTCTAGAGACAAAAAATTGGGCAGGACTTTGCATGAACTATCAAAAGCTGTGAAAACGGATTTACCATCTTTAGCCTTCAGGACTTTCCCTCTGCTTCTCATCTGTCTTGAGGCTTCCTCAGAAAGATTTCCATGGACCACAGAAACGCTCACTCCCGCCTTCTCAAAAACCCGGCCGTCTTGAAGCACACAGCTTATGCCACCGCCTCCTGTGGATGAGGCGATAAACGGGGAGAACATGAAAGGTATGCACAAAACCGCCATCAGTGTTTGCATGAAGGTGGGGGAGGGACTAAAATTTCCAAAGGAATATTAGTGATATTCTAGATAAGGTATGATTTTTAAACACAATAAAATTGGATAACCAGTTGAGCTGTATGCCATTAGCTGCTAATGGCTGCTGATCTTGGGCAAGATGAAGCCTCCTGACAACTCTAAACTGAACATTTCTTACTTTTTTAAGAAGCCGAGACAGTTTTACTTTACAAAACCTGCAGCAAGAAAACTGACAGTCTGGTCAGATGCCATTCCCTGTTTCTGGTTCACACATGCACTAGCTTTTATAAAAGAAAAACTAGAGCCTATTTTTGTCTTTGTCGGGAGGAAGCCCTTTGGTCACCTCTCTCCCTGTGCAACTCAGTGATTTAGAAGAAAGACTGATGCCTGAGGAGACCAGGAGAAACCTGTTCTTTGTAGTTAGCCCCAAAGTCTTGCCTTTCATTGTAAGCCATGAAGTCCCAGAGGACAATACAGGCCGAGGCATGGAGAGGGATTAAGACTTACACGAGCACAATATAGATTATGAGAACACTTCCATATCTTGTATCGACAACAGGGAACACCTCTGAGTACCCGGTTCACCATCCAGTCTCCACGCAGTTGCTCTGATTCTCTATCCAGTCAATCATATGAGAACACAAGAAAGGCACGTATGAAACCTTACAGGGGACCTTTACAATTACCTTGGATCTATTAGGAGCCCCCAATTTAAAGTGGGTTGTGCCCATTAATGTGAAAGTTCATCCTCAAAATGACTTAGCTTAATGTTAGCAGCTTATATCCATCTTGGTCTAATGCTCTCAGTGAGCTGTGATGAGTTATAATCGCCTTTGCTTATTAATTGGACAGGCTGCAGAGAGCATTTAAACCACAAAAAAGACCACGCGAGCCATGAACTTGCTGCCTGACATGACATTTACAAAATTTAGAATATGCGTTTTCCATTCTTTTGTCATGTCTTTACCGCCCAAGTTTTTACACGGGAGTTTGAAAAAGTCAAAATCCCATGGGGTGGTTTCATTGCTGCATCCGACTGAGAATATTTTTTAAAAAACAGTTTAACTGGCATGTAATTCACGTGCCAGATAATTCAATGGTTTATACTTATTTTAAAGTGGTGTGTAATCATCACTATTTTAGAAGATTTTCTTCATTCTTGTACCCATTATTAGCTCCCCATTCCCCTCCAATCTCCCTTGCCATAATCCTAAGGATCTAGTTACAGTCTCTCTCTATTTATCCACCCTGGCTTTCATAGAAAGAAATGAACATTTCTTCTATATTCTTCTGCTATCATCAACAATAAGGCACTAGAATATTTCCCCTTCTGCTATTGGAATAAGCCAAAAGAACCTCACTGCATGGAGTCAATTTTGACTTAGAGACCCTATGGGGGTCTACAGAGTAGAACTTTCTTGTAGATTTCTGAGGTTATAAATCTTTGCGGGAGCAGAAAGCCTCATCTTTCTCCCATGGAGGGGCTAGTGGATTATCATTGCTGACCCTGAGGTTACGAGCAGCCCAGTGCGTAGTAATTCACTACACGACCAGGGCTCTTTAATGTTCATAACAGCACCCGTCAATTATGATAGCGAGGGAAAGCTAAGACTAGAAACAGGACTGCATGTATTTGAAGGAAGTTTCCTATATTACTACATGCTCTGTGCTGTTTTATTTTTCCCCCTCAGTGTGCAGTTTGTCTTTTAATTTTGTTGACATGTAACTAAAAACTATAGCTACTGGAATTCAGAGGAATTCAGAACCTTATGAGTGAAACAACCAATTGTCATCATCCTGACTAACGGAGCTACCACGTGTGTAAGATTAGAACTGTGTGCTGAGAGTGGTGATACCAGGAGGGTGGAGGGAGGGTGGGGTGGAAAGGGGGAACCGATTACAGGGATCTACATGTAACCTCCTCCCTGGGGGACAGACAAGAGAAAAGTGGGTGAAGGGAGACGTCAGACAGTATGAGACATGACAAAATAATAATTTATAAATTATCAAGGGTTCATGAGGGAGGGGCGATCGGGGAGGGAGGGAGAAAAATGAGGAGCTGATGCCAGGGGCTTAGGTGGAAAGCAAATGTTTTGAGAATGATGAGGGCAATGAATGTACAAATGTGCTTTACACAGTTGATGTATGTATGGATTGTGAAAAGAGTTGTATGAGCCCTTAATTTTTTGGAAGTAAATCACCAGGCTTTTCTCCAAGGTTCCTCTGGATAGACTCAAACTTCCAACCTTTCAGTTAGCAGCCACATGTGTACACCATTTGTACCACGCAGACGCCAACGATGAGTGAGACACCCATTAGTATTTGGCAGTGCTGCACGCTACTAAAAGTAGCTATTGCTTGTTAAAACCACTTGGGTTACCACCGGAGCAATTGTTTCGCAAAGGCTCAAGCTTAGTTTGTTTTAGTTCTAGCAGTTGTGGGAACACAGAGAACTTTAAGATGACCCAGCACAACCCTTCATTCACTCTTCCAGCTGAGGCCCCAGGGAGGAAAAGCATCTAATCCATGATCACAGAACGAGTCAAGTAAACAATTTATCTCCGTACTGTCTCTGCATCAGACAATATTCTAAGTGCTTTACAAATATTCACTCCCTTGAATCATCACAATACCTCTGTATATTAGCATTCCAATTCACAGATGAGGAAACAAAGGGGAGAAAAATGGAGGGGGAGAGGTTGTAACTTCCCAAGGTCACATGGTGTAGGGCTCAGTCTAAGACAGTGGTTCTCAACCTTCCTAATGCCGCCACCTTTTAATACAGTTCCTCATGTTGTGGTCACCCACCCCCAAACCATAAAATTATTTTCCTTGCTACTTTGCTACTGTTAGGAATCGGGTGACCCCTGTGAAAGGGTCGCTCTAACCCCAAAGGAATCACAACTCACAGGTTGAGAACCAGCTTCAGTGGTTTTCATTCGAAAACACTTCAAAATTGGAAAACACTATGAAAGCCAGATTTATCATCATTTAATATAGATGTGACAGCATTACAGCTTAGAATCTGCTAGTGACAAGTTGCTATAGTATTCCCAGCTAGAAAGCCAGAAATCCTTAAAAGCGTACGAGATGTGGGGTTTCACTATAAGGCTGTAATCTGACTGTGGATAAATACAGAAGTATGGAAATCAATGACACATTGTGCACAGGGAAAACGAAGTGGGACGATTGTGACATTATAACACCCCGAGCTGGGGATGACTAGTTGACATGTGGTCGATTCCTCCTCCTCTCTCCAAAGGAAGGAAGCCTAATGGGGGTGAGTTAGGCTTTTGATTTTTAGCTCCAAAAGAGTGGAAAAGGTCAACTCATACAGAGAAGCTGAGACACGCAGGGAAATTTTACCTTCATTTGCAAACGTTGACTATGGATGTAAATATTCCTCAAATATCTTTAAGGATGCCATTACAGAACTGTGAAGATTTTCAACTACCCAGTACTAGGGTACGAGGGGATCTGAGCCCACACTTTACGGTGTCCACACCTGATGGTGTCAATCTTTTTCTTAGCACAGGTGGCCCCTCTTTGGGATGGATACGCCGGCCCCATTGCCAACTCCCACTCTAGACCTTTTACAAAAGCTGGTCAGCAGTCTAGAACCTGACCGCTTGTCCCCAACTCCACCTTCCATTAGCAGCCGACCTCCTCACCTTCCTTCCTCTCCCACCGGTCCACCGAGAAGTTGGCGCCTCCGTCGACTTGTGCCAGCGCCTGGCACACCTGGGCCTGGGTCTCCAAGATCAACAGCTCCATCTTGGTCTTCATGTCACCTGGCCGCCGCCGCAGCTCGCGCAGGTCGGTCACGGGCGCGGCCATGAAGCAGCTGCAGCGGCGGGCCAGC